CGAGCAAGTAGGCCCCTTTGAGGATTCGGGCTTCCGGCAAAGACATCCTTTCTGTGTCTGCGTCGATGATCAGACCCCACACGGTCTGCTGATTGCTGTAGCAGCCTTCCTCCGCATCCTTGAGCTTGTTAATGGCCTTCTCCCCCAAGAGCCGCGTCACTGCCCACTCATACACCTCACTGGACACCCACGGTCTCAGCCCGATGACCGGTTCAACCAACACCATGTCATCGACGAGGATCTTGCCACAAAAATGCAACTCCCCGTCCCTCCTGCTCTCAACTGGACGAAGATTCCGGTGCACCTCCTCCGTGGCCCGCCCCCATGCCGTCCATTTGCCGGGTGACCCCGAGAATCCAAAGCTTGAGACCAAATAGATGACCGTAAGGTTCCCCAGGTCTTGAAGGTCAGGAGCCTCTCCACCAGTCCCCATCAACTCCGGCCTCCACGGAACATCTCCTGCGAACAGCTCGGCGTCCCTCGGGTCAACCCAAAGTAGTCGGAATGCCCCAGCCACATCCTTCTTCGCCAACACGACTTTGACCCCTGGGTACCTGGCCTTCAGCCACAGGATCCGCCTTGCGATCTGCTCGTGAGTCGGTTGAGCTGCAGGAGGATGAAGGTCCTTGTGGGTTCCCCCGTTGACCTGTCGCTGGTCGTGAACCAGCCGGGCTTCTGTGGACAGCGAGCGACCGATTCGGAAGCATCTTGGGAACCAACTCAAAGGGCGAGGACACTGTATGTTTCAAAGCGGGATGGTTCGCTGAAGCTACCAAGACCCTGTGCTTGGCGATGTCCTTCATCAACTGGACGTACACCTGGCCCATGTCCGCTCTGGCCCTCGGGTGGGGGCGCGTAGTCACCCTTTCCCGCTGTCCTTGGTACCGAGCTGGCATCCCTTGAGCACGAACTTCCCGTAGATAAGCAAGGTGGTCGGGGTGCAAAAGCCCGTTGAGCTCCTCACTATCTGCCCCTTGCAAATTGTTGCGGCCCAGGTGCTCCCGGGCCACCCACAGTGCGATGGCCGCCTTCTCGACTGAGCCCGTGAGGTCTAAAAGCAGGTCACCTCGCTCTCGAATCGACTGCCATGCTCGAGCCTCATTCCCTTGGATCTTGTCGACCTCCTGGATGTAGCTCATCGCCG